GATCTTGACTGAGTCACATCTTTGAACTGGGCCTTATTTTCCTTATCTAGAAAAATAAGGAAAATTACAGGTGTCTGACATCTTTCAGAGTTGTTGCAAGGATTAAATCAGACTTTCAAAACTGTTAAGCACAACACACATGCTTTATGGTTGCTATTTTTTAAGCCTTTGAATAAAAATTTTATGTATTAGAAGTACCATGGAACTAACTTTGTTACGTATGTTTACAACTTGTGAATTTTAAAAAGTTGGCTGATGGGTGGATTTTGATTTTATGTTGGGAAAAAAGCAAAAATACACTTGAGAGAAATAAAAGGCTTCTAAGAACAACAGAATCTCAGGAAGGATGTGATCCACCCTACTATCCTCACTTTAAAGAAAAATCAATGATACTGTGTATCTTTTTATTACTTTGGTATAATGCTAATTATAGCCCTATAAGAAAGCCCAATGTACTTTCCAGACTTTAACCCGTGAATTAACTAATATCTTTTATACATATATTTTAAATTCGCCCTTCACTTTTATTAAGTAATGCAATAAATTTCATTTTTCTTATCATGTAATTAAGAGTGCTATCTATAATGAAAGTCTAAAACTGTAATTTCAGTCAAATATGGACTTGTCCTTACTCCTCTTGAACCACCATGCCGCCCCCTGAAGAAACAAAACAAAACAACCTAAATAGCAAGATTCAGTTTTTCTCTTTCTGGCTAATCTTTAGGTGCAACAAGAAAGTAACCTAAAGACTTTAGCATTAAAGATAGAGAAATGGTATTTGAAATTTATAATCTAGATTAACTACAACCTTCATATGTTTTTGTAAGTAAAATTTTGCTAGAGCCATCCTCATACTGTGGCTACAACTCCAGAAAGGAGGAGTATTAAGAAAGAAAAGAAAGGCCACTGGCCTTCATGGAAAACGTATTGCGAAAAACACTGAGTTACACAATCAATACTGAAAAGAATGAATTCCAGCAAGCTAACTGTTTTTGTTTAAGACTGACACCACTTCTGTTAGGTCTAGATGATTCTGCTCTGTTGCCACTGGGCTGTGGTCCGTCTGACCACTTTCTTCCACCTCACTACTACTGTTGTCATGCAAACCATCTTTCCTCCTGAGTGACGGCAATGGTCTCTCATTTGACCTTTCTCTCCAATTTATCCTTAAACACAGCAACTAGATCAATCCTTTAAAAATTTGGCAGATCTTGCTTCAAACCTTTCAAAGACTTCCCATTTCATTCAGAGTAAAAGCAGAAGTCCTGGGAATAGTCTAGAAGCCAACTATGACTTACTTGGCTCACACCATTTCTTACATCATCTCTTATTACTCTTCCATTCCCTCCCTCTCTCCAGCCACTCTAACCTTGTTCAGAAACTCACATGATCAGCAACTCCACGAACCTGCTCAAATCTCATCACCAAAGTGGGCCTACCCAGGCTACCCCACTCCAGAATCCCCTATCCCTTCACCTTCTTGGTACTGTCTGTGCTTAATGCGTGCTATGTTACGTTTATTGGCTTCCCTCCCACTTAACCAAGTCTCAGCTGAAAAGGCCTGAACAGTGGCATAGTTCAGTGATGGAGAACCATTTACAACTTTCAATGAGAGCAAACAGTCCACTGCTACATGCTGTAGGTTCACCACCACTAGAAAATAAATGGTGCTACTAAACTAAGAAAGTGAAAAAAAAACATATGCTTGTCTTTAGAAAGGACTATAAGCAATTGGGAAGGAGGAAATATGGAGAAGGGAAAACATTTCCAAGTTTGTTTTTTGAAGACAGGGTCTCACTATGTAGTTCATGCTGGCCTTGAACTTCCTACGTATCCCAGACTGGTGTCCAACATGCGACAAACCTCCTGCCACTGCTGCCTGAGTACTGATTTAAATGGGTGGGAGGCAGGGGAGGAAGGCAACTTCAAGCCTTTAAATTAAGTGTTTTTTTGTTTTTAAAATAAAAATGGGCAAGCTGGGCATGGTGTCACATGTCTATAATCCTGGTACTGGAGAGGCTGAGACAGGAGGATTGGAGGAGGCTGAGACAGGAGGATTGCAGGAAGTTCAGAGCTAGCCTTAATTACATAGTGAAACTTTGTCTCAAAAATACCAAAAATAAAATAAATGAAATCTGGCAAAAATGAAACAACCACAAAACCTACCCCACATTTTTTTAAACACAAAAGATTTGCAGAATTATCTAAAAATGTCAAATCAATTTAAAACAGTAAGTAAATGCCATTCATGTAGCTTATTTTAACAACTACATTAAAATAATCTAACCAATAAATGTAATTTATTATACAGAATGGAAGATCTGTAGATAGAACTTTTTATTTATTCTAAACATTTTACACCTATGTCTTGCTTCCAAATGACTGAAACTGCAGTTGTCAATTCAAACCCAGTTATTGATTATAAAATAAAGCCAGTGTTGATGTCACATGACTAATGCAGCAAAGCAGTATCTTGTGCCTGTTCCCACAATCGCAAGTGACTGCCACAGCAATATTTAGCAATGACCTCCAGGGATAAAGGAATGAATACAACAATATAAATACCAATTACAGCATTCCCTTCTGATTTAGAGGTGATAATTAAAAAAATTTTTGTTGCCTTACAATCTTGACCAGTGTAAGACCAGGAAGAATCATAGATCTACAATATGACTATCTACACTCTCTGGGGGAAAAGTCCTTTATTCTTAAATGGTATTCATTGAACTAGTCTTTAATCTTGTTAAGAAACTTATATGAGTAAAGGGTGGTAGGACAAGCATTCTAATATGTCATGATAAAGTATTTTTTAGAATAATGATTACCCATCAAATAAACAATCATATCTTGCAACTGTCAGGGCAGAGTCACATGATCTTTAGCTTACTCCACAGTTAAATGTTTTTTAAATTAATGTAGCAATAGCTATCAATTACTGAGCATTTACTATTGTGCTAATCAGCTAAATATATTTATGTGGCCTTTAATTTTCATACCAGTCTTATAATGTTGGCAATACTACTATATCCATTCTACAGAGAAGGCAGAGAGGTTTTAAAAATTAAATAATGTGAACCTATAACCAAAGTACATACTTAATATAAAAATGGTGCTCTAATTATTACAACTGCCTAAAAGTTTTCCTTGAATTTGTATCATGATATAAACAAACTGATACAAAGTTATGCTACATTGTTAAAAGCATAATGAACCTTGACTGATTGCAATGCAAGTAAAATTTTCTGAATCCTTTAGAGTTTGTGTATTTAGAACTGTTCACTATGAGAATAAGTAAACCAAAGGAGTAAGTTTTAAAATACCTGCAAATCAGGTACCTAAGATCTTAGAAAATATTAGTTAAATGACAAAATGTGTAAAATGAGCCAAACTAACAAAGTGGAGTTTAGAAACGCAAAGCAAAATAATGAAAACAGAGCTGAATTAGGAGTTGAGAGACTTGGAATAATTCACTCCTACATCTATCAATTTGTGCAACTTTGACCCAGTCATTTAACCTCCACCACTCACTTTTCTCATTTGGAAGACAAGAGCAAATGTACTAATTAGTCCAACTGACTCTAACAAATTATTATTCTAATTTTGCTAGCTCTTGAAATTGACATAGCTATTAGAGAAGAAAGGACTACTTAAATCCTGAATTTTTGTTACAAAGTTACACATTTTGAAGTAGGGATTTCTATTTACTATGCTGAAAAATTATCCCAATTCTTTGGGAATAGATGTTCTACAAATAATAACAGTGCTCTACATACATGCGTAAGTGATCTGACTCCAAATGCATACTCGAAAAGGATGCTCTTAACCTTACCATATTTTTCTTGTTACCTTAACAATGTGTTATATTTTACTATGGAAACTTAAAAAAATTAAAAGCTAAAGATAATTAATAGAATGAAATGCCCAGTACAGGGCCTGGAAGAGTGAAGAAATTCAATAAATGGTATTTTAATTTCCTTATTATTTGTATTATTAATAAAGCTTCTTATATAAGCAAAAATTCTGCCTGGGTAACACTAGATAGGCACAAGAAGTGCCTGTGTTTCTTTTAAACAGTAGCAGATACTATCAGATACTAACATATTATCTCAAAACCAGGGATGGCTGGGGCCAAGGGAACACTCTGTAGCAAGCAACCCTGCGTTTGTACTCAAGGTGCCACCTAGAGCCACATAACTACATGACAAACAACAAAACTGCTTTCAGGCACGGGCCACCTTGACCTTCCTGTGGACTCCTCTCCCACGAAAAGACAGACCAAACCTTAAGCACATAAAGCTGTTGGGGGTAAAGGTCCGGGCGGCCGCAACAAGCCCGGCTGGGAAACTGCCCCGCGGGCAGGGGACACATCTTGGTTGTCAACTGCAGGCCAGCAATGGGGTCGACCTCTCTCGCCCCTTGACCCCAGCTGCAAGGTAGCACGGAGATGGCAGTGGGCAGCTGTGACCAGGCTGCGGCCAGCCCCACCCCCACCCCGGGCAGACAGGGCGTTTCTAGAAAATCTAGTTCCAGCGCCGTGCACCGGGACCGGGGCAGAAGGCCGGGCACGCGAGGGTCTGCAGTGACAGGCGCCACCGCCACACTCTCGCAGGTGACAGCCCAGCGAAGGTACCTTGCGTCCAACGGCAGAAGATGGTATCCGAGAGCCCGGGGCTGCTCTTGGTGCCCCACACCAGCTCCATCAGCTCTTTAGTCACTTCGGACATGATGGGGAACCGGCGGGCGGGTCTTCGCTGTCAGGACTCCTGCCCCGGAACATAGGGAAGGGGCGAGTTCGGAGACAGAAGCTGCGGGATGGTGGCGGCAAACCAGTTTGAAGGTTAGACAGGAGCGAGGTAAAAGGAGAGAGCGCTACTTGCACGAACTGCACCTGTCAAGCCGGGTCAGGGGTGCAGCTAAGTTTCCCGTACCGGAAGTAGGGCCACTTCAGGCTTTTACCTAGCCCCACCCCGGAAGTCACATCCCCGGAAGCGGAAGTGAGTGTAAGCGAGAAAGAGCGAGGAAGAGGCTGCTTAGTCCTTTGAGCTATCCGGATCCCTTAGATGGTGCGGTAGCTTTTTTCCCAGGAGGGTAAGCTCGAGAGCGTTGTAGTATTTCTGTCTCTCTGAAACACCGCTCCCTGTCTCTGTCCCAACTCGGCCACTGCTGTAATTTCACCTGGAGACCATGAGGCTCAAGTTCTAAGACATTGAACGTGTGCCCATTCTTTAAAATTTATAGTATTAATTATGCAAAATTAAGGCGCTGGCTGGGTCATGTACATGTAAACATCTTTAGCCCGCTAGAGAGCTGCGGTAATACATAAAGTAAAACTACGTATCTGGTACCTGCAAACATCTGAAAATTAAGGTGATTAGTCCATCAGAAATGGCTCTGCCCGGGCTATTTGTAGGTAAACAGACTCAAAGCAACCTATTCATAAATTGTACATCATTTTCACCCCTAATTTTGGGGCAGCACCTAGGCGTAAAGATCGTTTCATTCACTGACTAGAATTCAGTTTAAGTTGTTTGAAAGTTTCTGCTAGGGAGAAACAGGTCAAAATCTAGGTTTTTGGGACTGGGGATTTAGCTCAGCGGTTCCACCACCTGCCTTGCAAGCGCAAGGACCTTAGTTCGATCCCCGATACCAAAAAAAAAATTAAAAACACACAAAGACACTGTTAAAATCTAGTTTTTTGGTTTTTGTTTTTGTTTCATTTTTCTGGAAAGTAGAGACGTTTGGGTCCTCCTTGGAAAGTACATTACCTTGGGGCACAGGATAGTTTGTTAGGCACCCAGGCAGACCTTAACTTCTGCACTTAGTAGCAGCTCACTTAGTTTACACCTTAATTTTTTTCTTTCTAAAATAGGGATAATATATATAATATATGAGGTAAATGAAAAATTAATCTATGCAAATAATTCGGTATACTTCCTGGCATATGTATGGAAAGTATTAATAAAAGAAAGAATGTTTTCTTACCTGAGGAAAGCATTTTGTAGCAATTTGTTGAAAGACTAAAGTTTTCTGACTATTTAAGTCATAAATTTTAGGCACTTGTATTTTAGTATAGTTCAAAATATGTAATTACTGAATTTGAAAAGCATGTAGTTTCATGTAGAAGAATGTATTAGCTAATTAAAATTAACTCTTAAAGTCCACCATGTTACAAATAAGAGAGGTTTATACTTTATTTCCAATTTTAGCACCTTTTTCTATAGTTCAAGGGAATTGCTTTAAATGTCTTTATTACATATATCCATAGCTTTCCTCATTTTTATTTAGAATTTCTTTTTCCCCATTGTACATATTAAATATTACCTATTCAAGACAGAGCATGCATGATACATTGTAATTTGTAATAAAACTTTCTCTTAATTTTTTTTTTATTTTTTGGAACCGGATTTGAACTCAGGCCCTTGCACTTGCAAAGCAGGCAGTAAACCACTGAGCCAAATCCCCAGCCCTAACTTTCTCTTAATCTAATAATTAGTTTATGAATTTAGAGATAGTGCCTTATCTCTAATTATGACAATTGTAGATCTTATATTTTCAAAGAATTATTTACTCTTCTCCTGGACACAATTCATGGATGCCAAGGATTTGTCTTATGTGTGGCTCTAACATGGAGCCTAGAACTGTGCTGTGTCTCAATAAGGATTTACCAGAGGAACAAAATTTGCATCTACTGAAATTTAAAAACTTCACTGTCAGTGGGATACAGTGGCATATGCATATAATCTCAGTGCTGTGGGAGGCTGAAAGAAGGAAGATCAAAAGTTTGAGCCCAGGCTAGATAATTTAGTAACATAATGAGAATTTATTATCGATATATTTTTTTTAAGCAGGGGTAGCTGGGGATGTAACTTAGTGTGAAGGCCCCAGTTCATCTTCAGTACCAGAAAAAAAAATTTTTATGTTCTTTCGACAAGTGAGATTGGGGATGCAGTACTGACTGGTTCAGTCAAATATCTAATATTTGCTTACTGATGACAGCTTCTGTAATTCTTCCACTTTCTGAAAGACATTGGAGAATCCATATTCTTAGAGCCTTTTAGCGACAGACCTATAAGTTCAGAGGTGTTTGCATATTCTGTTTCTCTTAATGTATGGAATAGTAATGGTGTAGTATATACTGTATAATTCTACATCATTTGTCCTTTCCATTAATATATACATAGTAGTTATGGCTTTAATTGTTTTTGTATAAATACAGAGAAAAAGCTGTAGTTTCAAAATGTACTTTTAAAAGTAGGAAGTTTCATGACTTGTAATTTTTCTTAATTTGTAGCTATAGTGAAGCTGCCAAAATCTTGAGTAGACATTTATGTGGATGGCCTTTTCAGCTTCCCATTATATTCCTTATTTGTTGTGTTTTAGATTTTTTAATTAACAGGACAGTTTTTGCAGTAATATTTGATTAATGTTAAATTATTAGTTGGCTTGATTATTCATTAATTATAATATTTAAATTGCTTTAGCTATAATAGAAATGAAAATATTCATTTAAATTTTTCTTAGTAATTTTACAATTACAAATATGTACCACTTCACAACAACAATATTACTTATTATCAAACCCTAATGCTATTTAATTATTTTCCTGTCTCCCACCAAATGAAAACATAGCACCTTCATTATCCAGTTCCTAACACAAAAAGAACATGAAAAAAAGAACAGTTTTCTGGTTGGAAGCCCTCAACTCCTGATTTAGTATACAGTTTTGCATTACTTCTTATGTAAGAGAAATCAGATCTTTCAAACACCCACCCTGCAATGATCAGTAAGTTCTAGGCGGCTCATGAACAACTCTATACTATCTTTCTTTAGTTTTCTTTTTTCTTTTTGGTACTGGGGATCGAACTTGGGTCCTTGCGCTTGCGCAGCAGGCCACCGAACCACTGAGCTAAATCCCCAGCCCTCTTTAGTTTTTATTTTTATTAGGACATTTTTGCTGTACATAATAATTATATTCTTTGTGGGGAGTAGGTACATGTACATAACACATCTCAATTCTTTGTCCACCCCTTCCCATCCTTTCCTCCTCCTATCATCTCTTTATCCCCTATTCATTTGAAAAAGATCTGTACTCATTTAATAATAAAACTCATTTATATACTTTCTGTTTCCAGTAACAGCACAAACCTGTCAAGATGAATGAATGCCTTTTGCATCATTCTAACTTCAGCTCATCAAGATAATTCTGCTGGGCATACCAAATGCCTTTCAGACCCATTATGGTCATACTCAAGTATGGCATGATACATCATTTTTCCAAACATTCCTACTGACACTGATACTTGGTGGAAAAGGTATTCTGCCATTAAATTCTGGGTTAAGTAAACAAATTGTTTACTGCAACTCTCCAATAATGGAAATTGTAGCCAGTATTAAAATGACATTTCAGTCATTTTATTCACTGAGTTCATGCAGTTTGTGCTCTGAAAAAATGCTGCTAGAGAAATCTGGGTAATAGAATAATCTTTTGAATGAAACTAGAAAATCTGAATATTAGTTTCCCTTTCGCTACTGTGACCTTAGGTATATCGTTTAACTAGGTGAAATTTATTTTCTTCATCCCTAACTTAACAGGGCTAAATTAAAATAATCTTTTAAAATCCACTCACTCTAGATCCTGTCATTTCTATGATTCTAAATATTGCCTGTCTTACACTTAAAATCTATGGAAATTACGGGAATAGAGAAGAGCTGTGAGAAAGAATATGGAGTCAACAGACTAGGACATACAAGAATAGAGATTATTTGCCATTTACCCCTTACTTGTGCCAACATTATGGAATGAGGACATTAAATTCCAACTTGGGTATTAATCCAAGACAGACTATTAAGGGAACATCTAATATTTGCACTCTTTATTGTTCATGGCACCTTAAATTCATTACCTGCTAAACCAACTACATCTTTTTCCTTAAACCTGCCTCACTCTTAGCACTTCATATACTGGTGAATGGTACCATCATCTACAGTAAAGCTCATTCCTTTGTGTTCTCAACTGTGATAGAATGAGTAAAATCTCTTTGATTCTTGATTGGTTAAACAAAGTTGAAAACAGGTGGTTTGATTCTAAAGCTGATACCTTCATCTCTGTGCTCAGTACTACCTTGTTCTAAACCTCTAAAGATAATAGGAGCTAGTAAAATTTCTTGAGCCATGGAGTGAAAAGACAATATTTTTATTTTTAGTGGTAACTGGCAGGAAGCAGTGAAGACAGTGATTTAAAATAAGAGGGCTCAGAAATGATGAAACCAGTTAGAAAGTAACTGCAATAGTCCATGAAAAGATACTTAGGGCTTAATTAGAGCAGTAGCAGTGGAGATTTTATGAAGAGGCAGATTTCATATTTTAGAAGCTGACTGGGTAAGACTTGGAGATTTACAAAGAAAATGACAACAATTTGGCTTAAAAACAGTATTATTTCTGGCAGGGATTTCACGAGGTCAGTGCAGAATAAGGAGGATGATCTGCACTTGTATCTGATTTACTGGATGAAATAATATTGGTACTTTATGGTATGAAATCTGGGGTTTTTGGACAGTGGATAGTATATTTTTCACACAGGAAGGGCTTGAATCATTGCAGTTCTAGGGGTGAACTGTGGTAGCCAGTAGCATTCAACATAGCAACTAATGAGTCAAGCCTCTTCATACTCATGCCCTTAAAATATTGAAAAGGGCTGAATTGTGTAACCAACAGTATTATACAAGTAGTGGTATATAATTGCCAAAAGTAGGTCATTACATGTATCGCAGTTTTTGCCTGGTATTCTGCGTCTTGTTGAAAGCCACCTTCCAAACTGTGAGAAAAATGTGAGTTACCTGTGAGAGGCACACATAGATAAAGAACTGTGACTAAATATTTCCATTCCATATTTTAATCACATTTCTTAGAAGAGGTCTGATGTAGGCAAAGAGTATTAAGCTTTCTCTGAAGTTCTTCTGCTCTCAGTAACTCTGAAGTGCTGCTAAGAATTTTTTACTCTCATACTTTGTGTTTAGATTCATGGTTACTAAATATGAGCGTGTTTCTTTCACCATCTCAGTGGTATTTACAAAGCAGATAGTCAGGTATTAACTCTGATTAACCCTGAGGCCATAATTTGGTCTGGGGTAATTCTCTGTAGAAAGGAACACTTGTAGACTTTAATCACCATTAATTTACAGTAGCTTGACAATGGATACATTCACTGGATCAATGAGAAGAATCTAGATGGAAATTAATACCTCCTATTTTACAGGCATCAAAATATAAAAAGCCTTTGGCAGCATCATAGTTAATGAAGAAATTTAGAAGGCTTCTGTGTTTAGATTGTCAAGAAGAGAAAGATGCTCACATATATTAACTTCTGTTCAATGTCATAAAGGAGGTCCTAATCAGAAAGGCAAAACAAGAAGGCAAAAGAATAGTAAGGTTGAAGTAAACTAATCATTGTCCACATCTGTCCCATGTTTCATTTTAGAGTTAACACTTTACGGACTTCTGTAGTACATTCTGATTTTAATGCTCAGAGTCTCTCATTACTTAAGGTTTCTTTAGGGGCTTATCCATCTGAAGTCCCTTGTAGCTCCTATCCCATCCCTGTTGAACAGATTAAGGCCCAAATAAAAGCATATGGAATTCACCTTCGTAATTTTTCCAACATAATATTGGAACTTCTACATTGTGGATGAGGAGTACCAGTTTCTTTTGAGCTAAGCTCAGAAACTTCATGGACTTGGATAACCGAGGGGGCGGGGGGGAGGTTCTATATGTTTTGAACTAAGCAATAACAAAACTACACCAAAATCAGTTCTCTTTATTGAGACTACCTTTAATTTAACCCCAGACTGATCTCCGTTATCTGGGTTCTCTTATCAAGGATTTTAAATGTCCTCCAGTAGCCCACATTTTGAAGACTTCTTGCAGATGGGAGGTGGCAGAACCTTTAAGAGGTGGGGCTGTAGGGAAGTACGTAGGTCCCTGGAGGTGTTCCCTTGCAGGACACTGGGATACCAGTCCATTCCTCACTCTTTTTCTTGATTCATAGCCATGAAATGAGTACTTTGCTTTGCTACATGCTCCTGCTGTGATGTGCCGCTTTGCCAGAGGTCCATCCAAAGGCTACAGGACCAATCAATAATGGACTTCTAGAGCCTCTTAAACTGTGAGCCAAAATAAATATTTTCTATTTATGAAGTCGATTTGGTTCTGGTATTTGCTATAGCAATGAAAAGATGAATAACACAAAGGTATCCAAATTTGCTTGGTTCAGTGTTGGCATTGGAATAAGTTCAAGCCCAGCCTGGTTAACTCAGCAAGACCCTTTATCAAAATAAAAAGTATAAAGTTCTGGGGATGTTGCTTTAGCACTAGAATGCTTGCCTAAGTTTGCAGGATGGTAGGTTCAGTAGTAACACACAGATGAGGAAATGTGTGATCATTAACTCGCCAGTCCATTTAGTGTCATGATCATCCTTCTTTTTTTTCTAAAGACAGAATGACTTCTGCTCTGAATATTTGATGTGTTTTGCTGCTGTAAGAAGCAGCTGTAGGTGGGTCTAGGGCCTAGATAGACAGACAGACAAAGACCTAGCTCAGCTCAGTATCTTCCAAAGAAGTGATGTAGCAAAGCCCCAAGACTGCTTCCATTGTCTTTTGTTTTTATTTTTGAAATTTATTAGTATAAGAATTTCAAACATGAAAAAATAGAGGAATCTAATAAACTTATTACCTATATTTAATAATTTAACCCTGAGTTTCACCTATGTATGGTACATTTTAAAATACAAATTACAAATTACAAATTCCCCTAATTTTTTCAGTATGTATCTCTAAAAATTGACATTTTTTTTTTACATTGCTGCATCATTTTTTATTAGCACATTTCTAGGACATGATTCCATTCGCTGTGGTTACATCTCAGTTCTTTTTCCCTCTTCCCCTCTACCTCCACTGTAAAATTTTTTTTCTCTTTTTTTTGCCACCAGCAGATTTACCTAGTATGAGTTATGCTTCTGTAACATGAGTATGCATGTATTACCTGTAATAAAATTAATAATAGTTCCCTCAAATGAGGGATTCCATTGAGTTCCATGTTCCTTTGAAAGTTAGTGTCAAGCCATGATTCAATAAGTGACAATATATGAAATTTCTCTAAGGAATGTTTAAATGTAGAACTCTCTTTGTTTAGTTTTTTTTTCCTTAATATTAATATGTTCAAGAAACTAGATCAGTTTTCCTTTAGAATATCCAGTTTTATAAATGAATGTGATTATTTCCTGGGCCTGACTCTAAATTTTGTTTTCTCTTGAAAATGTCCTGCAAGTTGGAAGTTTACATGTAAAGGTTTCACTATATTAATTAATTTCAATAAATTACTTAGCCAAATATTTGCAAGAATACTTCAGAATAATGTTGTCCACTTCTTACCACACCATATCAAAACTGGCCAGCTGCTGAGTGTTGTTAATATTGATCAGTGGTGTCCAGTTGTCACCGTGAGTAAAAAGCTCTAAGTAGCTCTGTGTTGATTTGATCGTCTGTTACCCTTTTACTTAATGGTTACATAGTCATTGGACCTTCTTATCCAAATCAGTTATTACATTGGGAGTTACAAAATGGTCAGATTCTATTTATTGGTTTATTGGTTTTTCTTTTTTCTAAATTTGTGAGTTAGGTGATTAAGTCATTATTTTTCAAAATTTTTAATGCTCTCTAATATGGCATTTAGGGGTATAAAATTTTCATCTAAGATTTATACATGTTTTGGTATATATTTTGGTAATTATTAAGTTCAAATATTTAAAGATTCCTATTTCCTTTCTGAACCCATTAATTCTTTCCAAGTATCAGATTTTTCTTGTGTCAAACATTGGTTTGTATATTGCTGTATTATGTACTTGGTGCCTACACATTTAGAAATATTATATTTATCTGAAAAAATTATTTCTTTTACTTGTAACATCATACTAGAATAAATAGTGAGTGATCGTGTCCAGTATTTAGTTCTTTCTTGTCTGTGTAATCCCTAAATTAGTCTTCTTGCTTGTTTTGGGGTTTTTGTGTGTGTGTGTGTGTGTGTGTGTGTGTGCCAGGGATTGAACTCAGGACCTTGTCCTTGTGAGGCAGGCATGGTACCACTGAGCTAAATCCCTGGCCTATTTTTTGTCATTAAACTTTGCATAGTTACCACTTTCTCTATTTACTATTCCTCCTTTTTTAATTTAATTTTTCACTTTTTCATCGTATCTTTTTATAAAATTATTCCAATGACAAATTTTTATGATCACTACATGTTTATAAAAGAAATGTGTTAAATATTATTCTTAAGCAATAATTTTGCTGAGATAAAACTCGAAATTTGAAGTTTTTTCTAGTCATGAGACTTTTAGAATGGTACTTTAATCCCAATATTCTTCAATTTTCTCGCTAGTAAAATGAAAACATTGCTTCTGTCTTATTCAATTATTATTAGTTTTGTTTTATGATGTCAGTTAAATTAATTAACTTTTACAACCCTTTGAGGTAAGTGCCATTTAAATGTTAGTTAAATAAAAATAAAATACATGAATAGAGTGAGGTTTGTTTTCTTTTATCCCTTAAAGATAGCCTTCTCCAGTTGTCTGCCTTTACCATACTTTTGAAAACTCTAGTTTATTGAATTGCCATTCCTTTTTAGGAAACTTGCCCACCTTGCTGTGTGCATTTGAGATGACTTCTTCATTGCTGGTTTGCTGGGTTTTCATTGCATTCCATACAAGCTTCCCTTCTGTTTATCGTGTTTGGTGCTTGGTGTTCATCACCAACTGGGGGTTCGTTTCCTTCCTCAAATTGGGGAAACTTTCAGCCGTTGCATTTTTTATATTTTCTCTTCATCACTCTATTTGTCATCCATGTTTAGAAATCTGGATAGAAATATGTTGGTCTTATTTACCCCATCTTCTGTGTTTCAACTGCACTTTGATATTTTCAAGTATTTATTACTCTGTGCATTATATAACTGTAATACCCTTCCATTTATTTAAGTGTTGGTTTAGCTCTGTCATACCTGCTTTTAAACAATCTATGGTGTTTTCAACCTCAATAATTATGTTTTATTCATACAAGTTCCATTTGTTTTCAAAATTTGCTTGAGCTTTTACGATAAAATCTCACATACTGGTGAAAGGTTTCCTAGCTTTTTTTTGTTTGTTTGTTTGTTTGTTTTTTTTCTTGAGTTGTGAGCTTATCTTTGGTGGAAATTTTTTGTGGAAATCTGGGATAGCTGTATGGACCAAAGTGAGAATGTGTTAAAGTGAGTATGTTTCCCACAGAGATGTTTTAAATTTGTTTCATCCAGGGATTTCCAATGATGCTGTGCAGTGATGCAGCCATCAGTAAGTTTTATCTTCATTCTCAACTGAAACATTCCTGGGAGACATAGTGGGAATAAGAACTTCAGCATGAGTTCTCTCCTGTAAGAAACCCAAATAAATTATAGATCTGCTGGGGATTTAGCTCAATGGTGTCGCCACCTGCCTTGCAAATGCAAGGTTCCAAGTTCGATCCCGAGCCCCCCCCCAAAAAAATTATAGAGCAAAACAAGAAAAACAATAGGAAAAAATCAAATTTTTGCAAAAGGGAAGAGGACCAAGAAATAGATGAAGGAGAAGGGAAAGGGATTAAAAAAATAATTAAGATGTGTGATGTATCCCAAGGTGAATGTAATCATTCTCCTGCAATCGTGTTAATGAAATGAATTTTTCCATAAAATAGAACTTCAGCTCACATAAGGAGTATTCCGTCATGATACGTTCTTAATCTGATGTTTCATTTGCCATCTAGATTCCAGTTCTAGACAGAGAAGCTTGCTGATATTTTTCTGAGTTGGTCGGCCAGTGTTTCCTATTACACACTTTCACTGAGGGTATAAACATTTGCACGGCTCCTTTCCAGCTAGTGACATCACACAATTTCAAGTTATAATCTTTGGATTATTCCTATGTTCTATTCCTTGATTTTCAATTCCGTTAAATATCTGATATCATGTTGTAATTTTAGGATTTCAATTCTGCCGTTCTATCAACAGGTGGTGCCATTGGATTATAGTTTGGGTTTTGTGAAAAGATAGAAAGCATTTTGTGTTGCAGCTATAAGCATTTCGCCTTCTCTAGACACTTTGGTCACTGCTTTTGCACTAAAAGGAAAATTAACTTTAGATTTTTGAAAAATATACTCGGTTAAAATTATATTGCAAAGCGTAACTGATTAGATTCTTCTAATGTATACTTCTAGAAACTGCAGGACTTTGTATGCTATTATGTCTGCAAACAATTAAAAACCCAAATAGCATTCATAGTAAGCAACTACATGTTTTGATAACTACAGATTTAGCATCTTACATCATGACCATTTTCATTCTGTATTTTAAAAAATAGTGCTGTGTATTTGTAAAAAGAAGCCTCCATTTTTTTTTAATTTCAAAAGAACCAAGAGAATGCCCAATAGCTTCTTGTGTTTCTTCTATCATAAATGCTACTAAATATAATGTTGGTAATGGCTCTTCCAAGAGACTTTTCCATATTTAAGTTTATCAGAAATAACATTCTAGAGATCCTTTCCATGTTGCAGCAAGTCCGTCAGGGAGAGTTTAGGATAGTTAACCCCATATGCCTGTCTTGAAGAGAATGACACTGGACTGTCACATTCCTAGCTCTGCCTTCCATTTACCATGTGAGCAGAAAATGCTCTTGGCTCAAGCATAGTTGTCAAAGTCACAGCATGATCACAGAAGGTAGTAATAAGAAGTTGGCACAAGTCACTGACAGAGAGATTGGTTCAAGACTTCTTGTGATTATCCTTTGGGATTTCAGAAGCAGTAAGCTTTTCCAAGCTAATTAGTTCTATGTTGTTGATACGGATGATCTGGGGGAAAAAAAAAACTTTTGAAAATAATGCAGCTCTTTAGTAATACTAAAACTGTTGACAGCTCAAATATCAAGAAATGAAATAAACATATTTAGAACCATTTGGATCAATTAGATGAGCCGGTCAGCAGATGGAAAATTCACTTTCAAAGTAGAAAAATAATGTATTTTGGAGCAGAAATGTAAGATAGGGAATATATGTTAAATGATGCAATTATCAATACACTGGGCACATTTTATTAATAAACTAGGAGATATA